ATTGGCCAAGGTACATGAATTACGTTCCACTGAAGCCCGGCTAGCTCAGTTGGTAGAGCATGAGACTTTTAATCTCAGGGTCGTGGGTTCAAGTCCCACGTTGGGCGTTTTCAATGTGACTTACTAAGTCTTCTTAATGGGTTGTTGGGTACTGCTAATTCTTGAATTGTCTCCTCTGCCAAAGTATTTTGTCACTCAAGCAGTCTTGTTTAAGCACTTGTTGTTATGTTAAATTCAATTTTTAAGAAGTCTCAATATGCTGACAACCATTAAAGCAAAAAAAAAATTAGTACTATTTTGTCGTACTACTATATTACCATCTTGGAAATCAACTTTGCTTGCATTGTCAGGTGCAAAAAAACATGCCTTTGTGAAGCCCGGCGAGCTCAGTTGGTAGAGCATGAGACTCTTAATCTCAGGGTCGTGGGTTCGAGCCCCACGTTGGGCGTTTCACAGTTCATTTACTTTGTTTCCTTGATGGTGACTGTTTAGCAGTGCTCGATGAAACGTAGCTACAAATCCATCAACTTTGCTGAAACACTTAATGATATGTTTGAATGTTATTGATAGAGGCTGACATGTACTCATAGCACTTTGGCCAAATGTACTTCATTGAGTTGTTGTAGTACTTGAAGTATATTGAAAGAGCCAGGAAGATTAGGCTCAGTGCCTTTATACCTTCTGGTGGTAGATTAGCTCAGGTCAGGATGGCCGAGCGGTCAAAGGCGCCAGACTCAAGGCGTAAACGCCTTGCTTCCTGGAGAGGTATCTGGTCTCTGATGGAGGCGTGGGTTCGAATCCCACTCCTGACAGTCTTTAACCACTTGACCTCGAGAGCAAGTGATGTGAATAGTCCTTCTTTGAACATGCCTGGCAAATTTGATTCAGCCTTCAAGACGGACTGTGCACGAGATATTCTGGTCTGACAATATTTAACATTTCACTCAAGACCAATTGTATGTAAACTAGCGCAGACTGGTGATTTACACCGCCAATTCTGATGTGACTACGGAATCAACTTTTTATGCATTGGCCAAGGTACATGAATTACGTTCCACTGAAGCCCGGCTAGCTCAATTGGTAGAGCATGAGACTTTTAATCTCAGGGTCGTGGGTTCAAGTCCCACGTTGGGCGTTTGCAATGTGACTTACTAAGTCTTCTTAATGGTTGTTGGGAACTGCTACTTCTTGAATTGTCTCCTCTGCCAAAGGTGTTTGTCACTCAAGCAGTCTTGTGTAAACACTTGTTGTTATGTTTAAATTCAATTGATAAGAGTTCTCAATATGCTGACAACCATTAAAGCAAAAAAAATTAGTACTATTTTGTCTACTACTATGTCACGTTCTTAGAAATCAACTTTTGCTTGCATTGTCAGTTGCAAAAAAACATGTCTTTGTGAAGCCTGGCGAGCTCAGTTGGTAGAGCATGAGACTCTTAATCTCAGGGTCGTGGGTTCGAGCCCCAAGTTGGGCGTTTCACAGTTCATTTACTTTGTTTCCTTGATGGTGACTGTTTAGCAGTGCTCGATGAAACGTAGCTACAAATCCATCAACTTTGCTGAAACACTTAATGATATGTTTGAATGTTATTGATAGAGGCTGACATGTACTCATAGCACTTTGGCCAAATGTACTTCATTGAGTTGTTGTAGTACTTGAAGTATATTGAAAGAGCCAGGAAGATTAGGCTCAGTGCCTTTATACCTTCTGGTGGTAGAGTAGCTCAGGTCAGGATGGCCGAGCGGTCAAAGGCGCCAGACTCAAGGCGTGAAGCCTTACTTCCTGGAGAGGTATCTGGTCTCCTCATGGAGGCGTGGGTTCGAATCCCAACCCTGACAGTCTTTAACCACTTGACCTCGAGAGCAAGTGATGTGAATAGTCCTTCTTTGAACATGCCTGGCAAATTTCATTCTGCCTTCAAGACGGACTGTGCACGAGATATTTTCTGGTCTGACAATATTTAACATTTCACTCAAGACCAATTGTATGTAAAACTAGCGCAGACTGCTGATTTACACCGCCAATTCTGATGTGACTACCGAATCAACTTTTATGCATTGGCCAAGGTACATGAATTACGTTCCACTGAAGCCCGGCTAGCTCAGTTGGTAGAGCATGAGACTTTTAATCTCAGGGTCGTGGGTTCAAGTCCCACGTTGGGCGTTTTCAATGTGACTTACTAAGTCTTCTTAATGGGTTGTTGGGAACTGCTACTTCTTGAATTGTCTCCTCTGCCAAAGGTGTTTGTCACTCAAGCAGTCTTGTGTAAACACTTGTTGTTATGTTTAAATTCAATTGTTAAGAGTTCTCAATATACTGACAACCATTAAAGCAAAAAAAAATTAGTACTATTTTTTTGTACTACTGTATTACAATCTTGGAAATCAACTTTGTTTGCATTGTCAGGTGCAAAAAACATGCCTTTGTGAAGCCCGGCGAGCTCAGTTGGTAGAGCATGAGACTCTTAATCTCAGGGTGGGTTCGAGCCCCACGTTGGGCGTTTCACAGTTCATTTACTTTGATTTACTCTGATTTACACCACCAATTCTGATGTGACTACGGAATCAACTTTTTATGCATTGGCCGAGGTACATGAATTATGTTCCACTGCCCGGCTAGCTCAGTTGGTAGAGCATGAGACTTTTAATCTCAGGGTCGTGGGTTCAAGTCCACGTTGGGCGTTTTCAATGTGACTTACTAAGTCTTCTTAATGGGTTGTTGGGTACTGCTAATTCTTGAATTGTCTCCGCTGCTAAAGGATTTTGTCACTCAAGCAGTCTTGTTTAAGAACTTGTTGTTATGTTTAAATTCAATTGATAAGAGTTGTCAGTATGCTGACAACCATTAAGCAAAAAAAATTAGTACTATTTTGTCATACTACTATATTACGATCTTAGAAATCAACTTTGCTTGCATTGTCAGTGCAAAAAAACATCCCTTTGTGAAGCCCGGCGAGCTCAGTTGGTAGAGCATGAGACTCTTGATCTCAGGGTCGTGGGTTCGAGCCCCATGTTGGGCGTTTCACAGTTCATTTACTTTGTTTCCTTGATGGTGACTGTTTAGCAGTGCTCGATGAAACGTAGCTACAAATCCATCAACTTTGCTGAAACACTTAATGATATGTTTGAATGTTATTGATAGAGGCTGACATGTACTCATAGCCCTTTGGCCAAACGTACTTCATTGAGTTGTTGTAGTACTTGAAGTATATTGAAAGAGCCAGGAAGATTAGACTCAGTGCCTTTATACCTTCTGGTGGTAGATTAGCTCAGGTCAGGATGGCCGAGCGGTCAAAGGCGCCAGACTCAAGGCGTAAGGCCTTACTTCCTGGAGAGGTATCTGGTCTCTGATGGAGGCGTGGGTTCGAATCCCACTCCTGACAGTCTTTAACCACTTGACCTCGAGAGCAAGTGATGTGAATAGTCCTTCTTTGAACATGCCTGGCAAATTTGATTCTGCCTTCAAGACGGACTGTGCACGAGATATTTTCTGGTCTGACAATATTTAACATTTCACTCAAGACCAATTGTATGTAAACTAGCGCAGACTGCTGATTTACACCGCCAATTCTGATGTTACTACGGAATCAACTTTTTATGCATTGGCCAAGGTACATGAATTACGTTCCACTGAAGCCCGGCTAGCTCAGTTGGTAGAGCATGAGACTTTTAATCTCAGGGTCGTGGGTTCAAGTCCCACGTTGGGCGTTTTCAATGTGACTTACTAAGTCTTCTTAATGGGTTGTTGGGTACTACTCATTCTTGAATTGTCTCCACTGCCAAAGTATTTTGTCACTCAAGCAGTCTTGTTTAAGCACTTGTTGTTATGTTTAAATTCAATTGATAAGAGTTCTTAATATGCTGACAAACATTAAAGCAAAAAAAATTAGTACTATTTTGTCATACTACCATATCACGTTCTTGGAAATCAACTTTGCTTGCATTGTCAGGTGCAAAAAAACATGCCTTTGTGAAGCCCGGCGAGCTCAGTTGGTAGAGCATGAGACTTTTAATCTCAGGGTCGTGGGTTCAAGTCCCACGTTGGGCGTTTTCAATGTGACTTACTAAGTCTTCTTAATGGGTTGTTGGGTACTGCTACTTCTTGAATTGTCTCCTCTGCCAAAGGTGTTTGTCACTCAAGCAGTCTTGTGTAAACACTTGTTGTTAGGTTTAAATTCAATTGATAAGAGTTCTCAATATGCTGACAACCATTAAAGCAAAAAAAAATTTGTACTATTTTGTCATACTACTATATTACGATCTTGGAAATCAACTTTGCTTGCATTGTCAGGTGCAAAAAAACATGCCTTTGTGAAGCCCGGCGAGCTCAGTTGGTAGAGCATGAGACTCCTAATATCAGGGTCGTGGGTTCGAGCCCCACGGTGGGCGTTTCACAGTTCATTTACTTTGTTTCCTTGATGGTGACTGTTTAGCAGTGCTCGATGAAACGTAGCTACAAATCCATCAACTTTGCTGAAACACTTAATGATATGTTTGAATGTTATTGATAGAGACTGACATGTACTCATAGCCCTTTGGCCAAACGTACTTCATTGAGTTTGTAGTACTTGAAGTATATTGAAAGAGCCAGGAAGATTAGACTCAGTGCCTTTATACCTTCTGGTGGTAGATTAGCTCAGGTCAGGATGGCCGAGCGGTCAAAGGCGCCAGACTCAAGGCGTAAGGCCTTACTTCCTGGAGAGGTATCTGGTCTCTGATGGAGGCGTGGGTTCGAATCCCACTCCTGACAGTCTTTAACCACTTGACCTCGAGAGCAAGTGATGTGAATAGTCCTTCTTTGAACATGCCTGGCAAATTGATTCTGCCTTCAAGACGGACTGTGCACGAGATATTTTCTGGTCTGACAATATTTAACATTTCACTCAAGACCAATTGTATGTAAAATAGCGCAGACTGCTGATTTACACCGCCAATTCTGATGTGACTACGGAATCAACTTTTTATGCATTGGCCAAGGTACATGAATTATGTTCCACTGAAGCCCGGCTAGCTCAGTTGGTAGAGCATGAGACTTTTAATCTCAGGGTCGTGGGTTCAAAGTCCCACGTTGGGCGTTTTCAATGTGACTTACTAAGTCTTCTTAATGGGTTGTTGGGTACTGCTAATTCTTGAATTGTCTCCGCTGCTAAAGGATTTTGTCACTCAAGCAGTCTTGTTTAAGAACTTGTTGTTATGTTTAAATTCAATTGATAAGAGTTGTCAGTATGCTGACAACCATTAAAGCAAAAAAAATTAGTACTATTTTGTCATACTACTATATTACGATCTTAGAAATCAACTTTGCTTGCATTGTCAGGTGCAAAAAAACATCCCTTTGTGAAGCCCGGCGAGCTCAGTTGGTAGAGCATGAGACTCTTGATCTCAGGGTCGTGGGTTCGAGCCCCATGTTGGGCGTTTCACAGTTCATTTACTTTGTTTCCTTGATGGTGACTGTTTAGCAGTGCTCGATGAAACGTAGCTACAAATCCATCAACTTTGCTGAAACACTTAATGATATGTTTGAATGTTATTGATAGAGGCTGACATGTACTCATAGCCCTTTGGCCAAACGTACTTCATTGAGTTGTTGTAGTACTTGAAGTATATTGAAAGAGCCAGGAAGATTAGACTCAGTGCCTTTATACCTTCTGGTGGTAGATTAGCTCAGGTCAGGATGGCCGAGCGGTCAAAGGCGCCAGACTCAAGGCGTAAGGCCTTACTTCCTGGAGAGGTATCTGGTCTCTGATGGAGGCGTGGGTTCGAATCCCACTCCTGACAGTCTTTAACCACTTGACCTCGAGAGCAAGTGATGTGAATAGTCCTTCTTTGAACATGCCTGGCAAATTTGATTCTGCCTTCAAGACGGACTGTGCACGAGATATTTTCTGGTCTGACAATATTTAACATTTCACTCAAGACCAATTGTATGTAAACTAGCGCAGACTGCTGATTTACACCGCCAATTCTGATGTTACTACGGAATCAACTTTTTATGCATTGGCCAAGGTACATGTATTATGTTCCACTGAAGCCTGGCTAGCTCAGTTGGTAGAGCATGAGACTTTTAATATCAGGGTCGTGGGTTCAAGTCCCACGTTGGGTGTTTTTAATGTGACTTACAAGTCTTCTTAATGGGTTGTTGGGTACTGCTAATTCTTGAATTGTCTCCTCTGCCAAAGGATTTTGTCACTCAAGCAGTCTTGTTTAAGAACTTGTTGTTATGTTTAAATTCAATTGATAAGAGTTCTCAATATGCTGACAACCATTAAAGCAAAAAAAATTAGTACTATTTTGTCATACTACTATATTACCATCTTGTAAATCAACTTTGCTTGCATTGTCAGGTGCAAAAAAACATCCCTTTGTGAAGCCCGGCGAGCTCAGTTGGTAGAGCATGAGACTTTAATCTCAGGGTCATGGGTTCGAGCCCACGTTGGGCGTTTCACAGTTCATTTACTTTGATTTACTCTGATTTACCACCAATTCTGATGTGACTACGGAATCAACTTTTTATGCATTGGCCGAGGTACATGAATTATGTTCCACTGAAGCCGGCTAGCTCAGTTGGTAGAGCATGAGACTTTTAATCTCAGGGTCGTGGTTCAAGTCCCACGTTGGGCGTTTTCAATGTGACTTACTAAGTCTTCTTAATGGTTGTTGGGAACTGCTACTTCTTGAATTGTCTCCTTTGCCAAAGGTGTTTGTCACTCAAGCAGTCTTGTGTAAACACTTGTTGTTATGTTAAATTCAATTGTTAAGAGTTCTCAATATACTGACAACCATTAAAGCAAAAAAAAATTAGTACTATTTTTTTGTACTACTGTAACAATCTTGGAAATCAACTTTGTTTGCATTGTCAGGTGCAAAAAAACATGCCTTTGTGAAGCCCGGCGAGCTCAGTTGGTAGAGCATGAGACTCTTAATCTCAGGGTCGTGGGTTCGAGCCCCACGTTGGGCGTTTCACAGTTCATTTACTTTGATTTACTCTGATTTACACCACCAATTCTGATGTGACTACGGAATCAACTTTTATGCATTGGCCAAGGTACATGAATTATGCTCCACTGAAGCCCGGCTAGCTCAGTTGGTAGAGCATGAGACTTTTAATCTCAGGGTCGTGGGTTCAAGTCCCACGTTGGGCGTTTTCAATGTGACTTACTAAGTCTTCTTAATGGGTTGTTGGGTACTGCTAATTCTTGAATTGTCTCCGCTGCTAAAGGATTTTGTCACTCAAGCAGTCTTGTTTAAGAACTTGTTGTTATGTTTAAATTCAATTGATAAGAGTTGTCAGTATGCTGACAACCATTAAAGCAAAAAAATTAGTACTATTTGTCATACTACTATATTACGATCTTAGAAATCAACTTGCTTGCATTGTCAGGTGCAAAAAAACATCCTTGTGAGCCCGGCGAGCTCAGTTGGTAGAGCATGAGACTCTTGATCTCAGGGTCATGGGTTCGAGCCCCATGTTGGGCGTTTCACAGTTCTTTTACTTTGTTTCCTTGATGGTGACTGTTTAGCAGTGCTCGATGAAACGTAGCTACAAATCCATCAACTTTGCTGAAACACTTAATGATATGTTTGAATGTTATGATAGAGGCTGACATGTACTCATAGCCCTTTGGCCAAACGTACTTCATTGAGTTGTTGTAGTACTTGAAGTATATTGAAAGAGCCGGGAAGATTAGGCTCAGTGCCTTTATACCTTCTGGTGTAGATAGCTCAGGTCAGGATGGCCGAGCAGTCAAAGGCGCCAGACTCAAGGCGTAAGGCCTTACTTCCTGGAGAGGTATCTGGTCTCTGAAGGAGTCGTGGGTTCGAATCCCACTCCTGACAGTCTTTAACCACTTGACCTCGAGAGCAAGTGATGTGAATAGTCCTTCTTTGAACATGCCTGGCAAATTTGATTCTGCCTTCAAGACGGACTGTGCACGAGATATTTTCTGGTCTGACAATATTTAACATTTCACTCAAGACCAATTGTATGTAAAATAGCGCAGACTGCTGATTTACACCGCCAATTCTGATGTGACTACGGAATCAACTTTTTATGCATGGCCAAGGTACATGAATTACTTTCCACTGAAGCCCGGCTAGCTCAGTTGGTAGAGCATGAGACTTTTAATCTCAGGGTCGTGGGTTCAAGTCCCACGTTGGGCGTTTTCAATGTGACTTACTAAGTCTTCTTAATGGGTTGTTGGGTACTGCTAATTCTTGAATTGTCTCCTCTGCCAAAGGATTTTGTCACTCAAGCAGTCTTGTTTAAGCACTTGTTGTTATGTTTAAATTCAATTGATAAGAGTTCTTAATATGCTGACAAACATTAAAGCAAAAAAAATTAGTACTATTTTGTCATACTACCATATCACGTTCTTGGAAATCAACTTTGCTTGCATTGTCAGGTGCAAAAAAACATCCCTTTGTGAAGCCTGGCAAGCTCAGTTGGTAGAGCATGAGACTTTTAATCTCAGGGTCATGGGTTCAAGTCCACGTTGGGCGTTTTCAATGTGACTTACTAAGTCCTCTTAATGGGTTGTTGGGAACTGCTACTTCTTGAATTGTCTCCTCTGCCAAAGGTGTTTGTCACTCAAGCAGTCTTGTGTAAACACTTGTTGTAATGTTTAAATTCAATTGTTAAGAGTTCTCAATATGCTGACAACCATTAAAGCACAAAAAAAATTAGTACTGTTTTGTCGTACTACTATATTACGATCTTGGAAATCAACTTTGCTTGCATTGTCAGGTGCAAAAAAACATCCCTTTGTGAAGCCCGGCGAGCTCAGTTGGTAGAGCATGAGACTCCTAATATCAGGGTCGTGGGTTCGAGCCCCACGTTGGGCGTTTCACAGTTCATTTACTTTGTTTCCTTGATGGTGACTGTTTAGCAGTGCTCGATGAAACGTAGCTACAAATCCATCAACTTTGCTGAAACACTTAATGATATGTTTGAATGTTATTGATAGAGACTGACATGTACTCATAGCCCTTTGGCCAACGTACTTCATTGAGTTGTTGTAGTACTTGAAGTATATTGAAAGAGCCAGGAAGATTAGACTCAGTGCCTTTATACCTTCTGGTGGTAGATTAGCTCAGGTCAGGATGGCCGAGCGGTCAAAGGCGCCAGACTCAAGGCGTAAGGCCTTACTTCCTGGAGAGGTATCTGGTCTCTGATGGAGGCGTGGGTTCGAATCCCACTCCTGACAGTCTTTAACCACTTGACCTCGAGAGCAAGTGATGTGAATAGTCCTTCTTTGAACATGCCTGGCAAATTTGATTCTGCCTTCAAGACGGACTGTGCACGAGATATTTTCTGGTCTGACAATATTTAACATTTCACTCAAGACCAATTGTATGTAAACTAGCGCAGACTGCTGATTTACACCGCCAATTCTGATGACTACGGAATCAACTTTTTATGCATTGGCCAAGGTACATGAATTACTTTCCACTGAAGCCGGCTAGCTCAGTTAGTAGAGCATGACTTTTAATCTCAGGGTCGTGGGTTCAAGTCCCACGTTGGGCGTTTTCAATGTGACTTACTAAGTCTTCTTAATGGGTTGTTGGGACTGCTAATTCTTGAATTGTCTCCTCTGCCAAAGGATTTTGTCACTCAAGCAGTCTTGTTTAAGAACTTGTTGTTATGTTTAAATTCAATTGATAAGAGTTCTTAATATGCTGACAAACATTAAAGCAAAAAAATTAGTACTATTTTGTCATACTACCATATCACGTTCTTGGAAATCAACTTTGCTTGCATTGTCAGGTGCAAAAAAACATCCCTTTGTGAAGCCCGGCGAGCTCAGTGTAGAGCATGAGACTCTTAATCTCAGGGTCGTGGTTCAAGTCCCACGTTGGGCGTTTTCAATGTGACTTACTAAGTCTTAATGGGTTGTTGGGAACTGCTACTTCTTGAATTGTCTCCTTTGCCAAAGGTGTTTGTCACTCAAGCAGTCTTGTATAAACACTTGTTGTTATGTTTAAATTCAATTGTTAAGAGTTCTCAATATACTGACAACATTAAAGCAAAAAAAATTAGTACTATTTTTTTGTACTACTGTATTACAATCTTGGAAAT